CGTCAGGGATGCCTAGATGTGTGCAAACCTGTGCAGCCGCAGCAGAGGCAGTAAAAAAGTCAGCTGGCATTGTTTTAGGGCACACTCTGATTATCAGAGTACCCCATGCAGTGACTTCAATTTTAATCTACGGCTCAGCGTCTAAGAATAGCCTAGGACAAAACTGTGTAGGCTATGCAGTGACTACAGCAGACAGAGTGATAGAAGCAAAACCGCTAACATCCTCACACTCCGCTCAGAGTGCAGAACTCAAAGCAGTCATACGTGCATGTGAATTGCACGCAATGATTACATCTACTGGACACCCAGTACAACATGGAAGTCTTCTGAAAACGCTATTAGATGTAATAATATTGCCAAAACAGTTAGCATTATGCAAATGTGCTGCACATCAGAAAGATAAATCAGAAATAACTAAAGGCAATAACTTTGCAGATCAAGCAGCTAAGTTAGCCACACAACAAACTGTAGACACATTAATGTCTGCATCCACCATGCAAATATCACTTGATGTACTTAAAGATGAACACAAAAAGCAGCACCAACCGCAGAACAGAAGAAGTGGTTAAAGTGTGGAGCACAACTAAAAGATGATTTAATGACTGGTGAAGGAAGACCAATACTTCCTAAATCCCTAAACAGAACAGCAGCATTAGTGACCCATGGAGTTACCCATGTGTCATCAGGAGGGATGATCCAGGTCATTAATACACACTTTTACACTTTAAATCTCGAAACTTCAGCAAAGGAATTTGTGAGAACATGCATGATCTGTCAAAAATACAATTCACAGGGAAATCTAAGGCCAAAAAGGGGACATTTCCCCACACCACCTCATCCATTTCACACCATTCACATGGACTTTATTGAATTAAGTGAAAGTCAAGGCTCAGAATACGCTCTAGTGATTATAGACGTATTCTCAAAATGGCCAGAGATTTATCCAGTGAAAAAAGCAGATGCAATCTCAGTTGCAAAATGTCTATGTAATCATTTCATCCCAACATATGGCATCCCTACTCTGATAAGATCAGATAATGGGACACATTTCGTCAATGATGTGATCAGTAAAGTCTCTGAAGCACTAGGATTCAGCATAAGTCTCAAAATGCATGGAAGAGACAGGAAGACCGTGGCCTGAATGCACAGGCCTAGTAAAAATGTGGATGAGATTAACACAAGGCTCTCAAAAACTTACACCATTCGAGGTTGTTCATGGTAGACCTTTTCCACTACCAGTGACAAGTGAACCTCTAGACAAATCTGTCAGAGAAACAACTCTGGCAGAATGGATGGCAAAACTACTAGAAAATAAGGATATTGTTTTGAACAATAAACTGCCGTACGACTCTTCTCCAGTCTCTTGCGGGTTGAAACCAGGCGATTGGGTCCTAATACGGGTGCTCCAGAGGAGAAATTGGAGCTTGCCTCGCTGGGAGGGTCCCTATCAAGTGTTATTGACCACACCCACAGCCTGTAAAATTGCAGAGAGACCCTCCTGGATACATCAGAGCCACTGCAAAAAGGTTGAGGTCCCGGGAAGCCCCGACACCAAGGAGGAAGCGCATTAGGGAAGTCTCACCCACGTTTTGGTTGCTTCGGGGGTGAGTGAAGATTGGGCCCCCGTAGGGTAAGCCCGCACTTCCACCTTCCATCCGCTCAACTTTAGGGCGGCCAGGTGTGGGTGTGATGGACCTATGTGCAACCATGGGAAGGGGAACCCTCCTGGTTACCTTAACTGCAAAGCTCACCCTTACAGGACCCCAGCTGATGCCAACAGCAGCTGAGCCACGAGGCAGACTGAGAAGACGCATGACAACTTTTACCTAATGGACATGACACAAGACCACATCTATCCTTGGATAAACAATGCCCGATACAGATACGTGTTTAACAGAACCACAGAGAAAGACTGTTAAGTCTGCTCGCACATGCCGAGCGCATCAGTACAACCATATATGGGAAACACACTGGAACGTGCACCAATTCTGATCTCCAACCACACCTTCAGAATGACTTGTGTAAACTGCACAACAACATCAACATCCTCATCCAGGAAGAAACGCTCAACTTCAACAGTCAGACCACATGACTCAATCCGGGGAACCGACGTACCTGAAGAATTCAACTCTGGACAACTTGACAAAAGGTACTCAACTCACTCTTCCCGTGGGCAGGAGTGAAAAAACATACTCTCGGAATTGAGACACTGGACTATAGATTCGGCTTGTTCCTGAATGCACCCTGCAAGGTCAACGAGGGACAAAACCAAGAAATGGACACTCTCAGAATTGCTGTAATGCAACATCGTGTAGCACTGGACATGATCCTGGCTGAGAAAGGAAGATTGTGCGTCTTATTCAACACCACATGCTGCACCTACATACCAGATAATGTACATTCTTTAAACATGGCTTCAGATTCTAAAGAGACTGTTGATCGGCGTTGGACTTTTCCTGATTTTATTTTATTTTGCTTTTCTTTACTTGTGTTATTCCTTGTTTAAAAGCTGTAATTTCACAGATGATAAGTTTATCACTCACAGCATACGCAGATGTACCACAAACCGATGAAGATCATGAAGACTTATTTTCCTATTTGTAAGATGAAGATAAAGTGCAACTAATGATGTAGTAACTGAAAATGTGAAAGACAAGTAGTTACTTACTGATGACTTGTACATTTCATTTTTCTGTTCAACAGGAGGGAATGTCAAAGGAATATTGTTTTTATATAATGTGATCAGCTTCATGAAATGTATTCTTTTATTGATCACTGAGCAAATGTCTACGTGACTTTTGACATGTACATAAGAGGAAGCTATTAGTTGTTTATCACACAAAAGTGTGATAAACAACTAATAGCTTCCTCTTTTCTTCCTAGAATAAGAAGCTATTTGCACGCACACACACACACAGACAAGTATAAATAAAGAACGCAGACAGTGATGAGACGCAGGTCGCAGATTGTGCGTTCATGACTGCCCTCGCGAGTAAAGACAACTGCAGTGTTTGTGTTTTCTAACTCAGGTGTCTTAGCTGAAGAACTACGGGGTGATTTTTAGAAATCCTCTGTCAATGCCGCTGCTGACTAATAATTAGGTTTACTGCTTAATAAGTGGATATTAATGGTGAATATTTAACTGTTGCCATATCAACTTTGCATCAAAGCTCAAGAGCTGAAAGACTTTTAAGGCTATTTGTTTGCATCTCTGGCACAAACAGGGGTTATTACATGTTATCCTTCATTACACTCTGCTAGAATGGGTCATATAATCAAAAAACAGAATAAATCTAAACTGGTTAAGTTACCAAACTACCTCACATTAACTCACAGTAACTACAGCTGATAACCTAGCCACTCTCTGTGTGAGAGCAACACAGATCTGGTTTGATTTCTTTCCATCTACTTTCTGCTGTGTGTAACTGTACTCGTTATTGTCGCTGTCCCGTGTGCTGACACTCACAGGGAGTGTGGCTGGTAAAAAGGAGGAAGGAAACTCTGGGCCGAAGCTTCCACTTTCCTCGCTCATCTGCTGCACAAAACACAGAGCTACCCCGACCGCTCACAGCCCCGTGCAGCTCCTGGATCAGGTACCTACAAATAAAAACACATACATATACATAAAGCGATCAGCACAGTCAAAACAGCCTGCAGTGACACAGGTGGGTTCATACACGCACCTGATACATCCCCTCCTGGCAATGACCTCTGCGTGGCTGTCGTTAAGTACATCACCTGAATTAAAACGGAAAACAAAATTTGGTTTGCACAATCGACACCTTCAGCATCTGAGACACACAACGTCCATCTGCACACACCTGTGGGACTCATGGCGGTCTGTCCAATACATTTGGTCCCAGTTCCCAGGGAAACAACCTCCATAGCAACTGTGATGGAAAAAGAAAAATATCGCATCACTATACCTCACTGTTTTACGCATTTTCATATTAGTGTCTACAGGTCCGCTGAAATATACATTATGGACATAATTTAGAACAATTTAAAGCCTTTTTCCCATCTTCAGAAAACTTTAAATGTCTTTTTAGCAGTGACGTTTGGTAAAAATGAATTAAACTGGGGTTTTAGAACAGTGGACTGGTCCATCCTGCCGAACAACCTGAATGAGAGTCAGCTCCGCGGGTGATCTGGAGCACAGCGGCCAGCAGGGTCCACTCTCTGCCCGGCTCAGGCTTCCCTCTGCGGGGAAGCTGACTGAAACGCTCGTAACACAACTTGGCGACTTCATCCGCGCTCACCACATTAAAGCGACGGGGAAGGCGGGTGTGAGCACCAGTAGGCATTTCAGATATGATTAAATTCACCGTTAATGTCCCGGTGCCATCCGAACACTACAAAAGCAGCATTTTCATTTAGAACTGCGACCAAATCCGGTGAACTTCCGGCGAATGAGAACGAGAAGAAGCTACTTCCGGGCCCAGCAAAGGAACAGGTACTTTCACAATAAAAGTCCTCTCTTCAGCACCCTATGTCAATACACCCACCAACCCTCTTCTGCACATCACCAAACCACCTCATCCTTACCTCTCACCTGTGTCCAGTGGGCTGATTAAGTAAACCTCTCCAGCGTACTCACTAAATTTATTCTTTCCACCGCTGTAGACATAATCTGTTGTGCCCAGAGCCGCAAACTGGACGGCCAATGGGAGACTGAGAGTGAAGATTCACTCAAAGTTTGTTTGCATGGTTACATCCAAACATGCATTTTCAATTATTGTGACCCAGTCGGCCAAACCTCAAACTGCTTCGGGCTGAGCTCTAACTGGGGGGCCCAGGCAGAGTGTAATCCCCCCTACAAAAACAGTGAAATAACATATGTCAACATTCCTCAAGTCGTCTCAGGAAACTTGTCAGTAAAAAGGTGACACCGCTAACCTTGATAATCAGTGTAAAACACCTTTAAAATATTATTTTTATTATTCGATTTTTTTAAAAACAAAAACCACAAACAAAGCTACAGAGATGGTTCGTTTTTTAAATTTTCCCTAAACATTTCAATAATATCGCTGATTATTTTTTTAAAATACAGTAATGATGGCAATCACGACAGCAATTGTGACATGGTGAGTTTTTCTATGTAAAGCATGTTTTTATAAATATTCTATTTTGGGTAATTAATCATAAACCACACATAAAAATACATTTTGAGTAAGGTTATCATTTTGTCTTTCTTCAACAGTACAGTATTGTTATTGTGAAGTTCAAATCTGACATCTGGACATTGCTAACCTCCATCATCATTTGAATTTTCCTCTGTAAAGCAGTTATATACACTTTAATGATTGTAAGTCATTATGTAATTTCTGTGCAAAAGTCTCGAGCCGCCCCTCATGGGTGCAAACATATTTACAACTGGAAATACAGTATATAACGCAAAAACAGTACAATTCTGTACAATTCTAAGGAGCCTGAAAGTCAATATTTGGGATGACCACCTTTACACTTCACCATAGATTGAACTCTGAGGCTGCTTTCATGTTATTTCACTCTTCAGGAGTAGCTCTCTGAGCTCCTTGAAGGACATTTAAAGCTCCTGTTTGGAAGTCGGCTGCCTTTTTGTTCCGTCCTCTGTCAGAATGATCTCACACTGCTTCAATAATATTGAGATCCGAGCTCTGGAGAGGCCACTCCATGACTGATAGTGTGGGAGGTTTGCTTGTGTTTGTCAAACTGTGTTATTGTTGATATTTTTCATAAATTCAACAAAAGAAATGGGAACAAATTATGTGTCTTTGCGACATGCTCCTAGTACCAAAGTGCCTAAAGATACCATTTAAAATGTTTCTTTGCCAAGTTGTCTGGTACTGGTTGAGTTAGGTGCTTTTTTATTCTTGAATGACTCAGAGTTCGGTGTCAAGTAGCTTAACAAACAAAAGAAATGATCAGGTTCAAGTGAAAAAGCCGCCAGTGTCCAAAGAAAAGCTGTGAAAAACCTTCAGAACGATTGCTCAAGAGCACTTTAAAAAAGAAAGTCTGATAATAAAGAAACAAAGTGTGGCTCGAATTGTTTGCACGGCACAGTAAACCAATTAACGCCGAACCTACGTCACTCACACTGGATTAAGCATTTTAAAAAGAAAGCGTCACCCAAACATCTTATGACTGAAATCTCATTTATTTGAGTTATATACAGGAGAAATCGACTGAATTTCACAATTAACAGAAAAAATAAAAAATAAAATCGCATCTCATCTCTCTGACCTCTGTAACAGAGGCGCACTAGTTCACGATAACAGCTTCCTCTCACACGCTGCCGTCTCGCTGCTTTAATATGCTTAAAATGTACGTCTCTCTGGTAGATATGTTATACTGCATTTGCGGGTAGCTGTGCTGTCGCTGTGAGTCGCTGCTGACATTACAACTATCATGTCGTCTGGGTTTGGTGCAGTTCTAAGCGGTGAGTAAGGGGGGGGGAGTGGTCATCCTGTTTAATCCACACACATACACACCATTTATATGCAAATACACAATGGCATTAACATGAGCAACCACACACACACCCACACACACGTAAGCATTCACTCGTCTGTGTTTCTGTGCCTCAAGCCTGATCCCATGATTCAGCTCGCTAACATGATCCTCGCCCAGGTGAGGGCTTGTTTAGCTGACAGGTGACTCCTCAGCCCTGTGATGAACAAACAAACGCAAAATAAGACCAATAACAAAAAACTATTCGTCGATTTAAGTGTCGTCCGTCTCTGCCGCCTCGCCTCGCCTCGCCTCGCCTCGCCTCACTCCTGTCCAAATCCCTCCGTCTCCTCGATGGCGAACAGGAGCTTCTCTCTGAGCTGTTCCAGGCTTCGGTAGGGAGGCAGATCCAGACGATTGAAGCTGAGGAGGAGGAGACAGAGTTACACCTCAGCGTGGATGGAACATCAGGGTGACATTTATCTATTTTTTAAACGCTCCCAGGCCGCTCACAGCTCAAACTGAGGAAGTGAAATCCTGATTTTTATTTTCCCCCCTGTCGGGACAGTTTTAATCCGACCTGCCCTGCTCAGTGGCTTTAATTCATTTTAGACCATATGTATTTTTAGCTGAAATTACTTTTCTGAAAGTAATCCTGTCCGAGTCCACATCCTTAAATTTCAACTGTCTTTTTCTTTCTCCTTTAAAACGAGAATTCCCTTCGAAATGTAGCAGAAGCGTTACCACTAAGATACAAGCGTCTCCTCCTGATACTAATCCAGGAGGTGAAGGTGACACAGGGGCGGTCCCGAGATGGTAAAACATGCATAAAAAATGTGACTCTTGTCAGTGAGGTTCTGAATGCTGTGTGACTTTAAAAAAGTGAATTTATCAGGAATAGCTGCTCGTTTCAGACAGACGATGACCTCTCTGCACAGAGACCATCTACAACATGAAGAAGGATTCGAAATTAT